ATAAAGTAGAATGAGGTAGATATTGGAGAAAGCACAGAAACAGAGCATTTTTTTTTAGTTTAGGGTATCAAAGAAGACTGCATTGGAGAAAAGGCACTGAAAGAGCATCTTGAGGTTTGACTAGGATGTTGATACGGGGGAAAGACCGGAGAAAAGGCTTGGAGAACTACCATTAGTCATATTGCCGCTGTGCTCCTCAGACTCCAGTATGAAGAAGAATCCTTGAGGGTCCTGAGGATCTTGATAAAATGCTGACACAGATCCGCTGGGCCTGGGGTGGGGCCTGGGAGTCTGCATGTCTAACAGGCTCCCAGGGGATGCTGGAACTTCTGATCCAAGGACCTCACTTTGAGTAGCAAGGTCCTAGTCTAGCAAAAAGGATGATTCCAGGAGGCTAGCGAGAATTGCAATGGTCTGGGGAAGGGGAGAGACGGTCAGGTAGGGTTGGGGCTGGTCCTAGACAGGCCCTTGAATGTCTCACTAAGGAGTTTGGGCCTTACTCTGGAATCATTGCAAAATGAAATCGTTGCAAATATCTGAACGAGAGTTTTCGTGCAATATGATAGGATATAGTATAAACAGAGGTCACACACTCTGTGGACCAGTTAGGAGGCTGATGCAGTGAAATATTCATATACTAAGTATTTATTCTGCATGGACTTTATGTAGAATACTGTCCATCTCTAGAGCAGTGGTTCTCAAATGCCACTGTGCATAAGCTTTACCTAGAGAGCATGTTTTTGATGCATATTCCCAATGAATAAATCTCTGCTGAGACTTCCCAAATTTCTATTTTAAAACTATACAATCTTCGGTCTCACATAGATAGGTTAAGCAGTTATAGGGGACACTAAGTTAAAACAAAACAATCACAAACAAACAAAAAAACCTGTGTCTCTTCTGACCTCAGGTAGTTTTCCTGTCCATGTGAGAGATGAGGCAAGTTTGCCAGTAACTCAGAGAAAGGAGGAATAGACTACTTTGTAGGTGGGAGACCAAGGGAAGGCTTAGTGGGTGGAGAATGGCCTATCAGTTTGATCTTAAAAGATGTGTAAGGGAAAAAAAAAGATGTGTAGGATTTGGACCTGAGGCAGTGTTGGGAAAGACCTTTTAGGCGGTGGAAATAATAACATCAAGAATACTTAGAAGTTGTTTAGTTTGGTTACAGATATCTGAGTAATCAAAACCAATATTACAAAGATAGGTTGCGGCCAGATGTTGAAAGTCTCTTTTCAAGTCTTTGTTTCTCAGTTTGGATTTAATGTTGTTGGTGATGCAGAATATTGAAGAATTTTGACAGGGCCGTGATGGGCCAGGAGCTATCATTTAGGGAGAACGACATGGTGGTAAGGCACAGGGCGAGCTGGACAGGGGAGAGAAAGGAGTCAGGATGAGCAACGCGGAGGCCAGGACAGCAGATCCTGGACAGGGGAATCGGGTCTGAGATTTAGGATAACGGGCATGTAGCACAGAGGGGAGGAGAGGCAGCCTGGAGAGAGAGGACAGAAACAGAACCAACAGGTGACTGAAGGTGGGGCAAAACAAGAGGAAGGAAAGGTGACCGTAAAGATTGTAACCTGAGTAACTGAGAAGTCACTAAGGAGGCCTTTGGGAAGAGAAATCTGGGGGAGGGGAGAGAGATCACACCTGGACATATATATTTGGGGACTACTCATACAAAATGCTAGTTGAAACCTTAAGAGGAGATGAAGTTGCCATAGGGGAGATGGACAGAGGGAAGAAAAAGGAGAGTTAAGGACAGTCTTTTGGAAGCAGAGGGAGAAAAAAGAGCTAGAAAGAGGCAAGCCACAAGGTAAGGAAAGCAGGAAGTTTCGGCGAGGGAGTAGAAGCGTGGAGCAAGGAGTGGTGATCTATAGCAGGGGCGACGGAGAAGCTGGGGAGAGGAGCACACAGAAGGCCCTTGGGTTTAGGGACCAGGAGACGGCTGACTCTCAGGGGAGCAGATTCGGGAAAGCATGCAGGCCGAAGCCAGATGAAGGGAATTTTACATCAGTTTTGAGGCCGTGGAGGAAGTAGGCATAGATTACTTTTGTAGTGAATCTAGACAAGAATGCGGACAGAGGGGTGCAGATGTGCTGAAAAGGGAGGCCAAACTACATTGCAGAGGGGATGGATGGAGGAGGGGAGCTGCCGTCTAGACGGCCTGAGGACCTAGAACCCGCAGGTCCTCGGGGCTCCCTGAGCATGAAGGTCGAAAGGAAAAAAAAAATCTGTCTTCAAGACCTGGAGACTGGAAAAAGGAAGATGCCATTTGTACATATTAAGAAGCCATGCATTAGAAGCGGGTTCGGGTTCTAAGAGGACACGTTTGATTTTAGACGTGTTTATTGATATTTTCAAGGGATAGATACTAAGTAGAATGCCTTCCTTTCCTCTGTTCCAATAAATCTACCTCCAAAGGGAGAGAATGAATCTCTTCATTAGAGCAGACCAGTGTCTTCCCTGGTAGTGTCGGTGAACTATATTTGGAGACTGGGTGCTAAGCCCAATAGTCTCTCCTTTGTGTCTTAGATACTAATGTACTCTAATATTTAACTCTGATAACCTTCACATGGTAAACCATAACGAAGTGTTGATCTGTAACTATGTGGAGAGGCCATGCAGATCTTTTATCTAAAACTGGTAAGACGCCAAGAGCAAACCAACAGCTAGATCAGGAACTCTTTGGGTCCAGTGAGTCCAGGCAACTTCCCTAATGCCTGTCCATGACTCTCATGCTTCCCCTTGGGCCCCTCGGTCTCAAATACGGCCTGCCTCGTTCTATAGCTCAGTCCTAGGGACAAGCGCCAAGATTTCATCTTGAGCCTGCTAGGTGCATCTTGAGTTCTAAGTCAAGTTTACTAACGCCAAAATCCTGAGGGCAGGAGCAACGAACCCTGTTCTGTCCTATGTTTTCAGAAAGACCCAACACACTGCCCTTACTCATTTTTCATTGTCACTGACCACAGAAAGCCCGGCGTCTGTTCACGTTAACATTTTAGAACCAAAATTAAAAGGATGATTTTTTTTTTCTGCTGGTCCTTTTCTCTCTGCTGTTTTTGGTTTTCAGTAGCTGAAGTTTTCCGTTGAGGTTCTTTTAAACGCCTACATGCAAACTGAAGAGCACTCAAGCTTTGGTGGGATATCACCCACAGCTGGAGTGATGGAGGAAGAGAGGAGAGTACACGCCTCAGGTGCATCCTTCTCTAAAAAAAAATTTTTTTTTAAACATACGTCACTTAAGCAAACAAATTCCATCTGAGAGCAGGCAAGGCCTGTCCCGAGAAAGAAAGGATTGAACCCCTTCCCACCTAGGAAATGGGAATCGATGGCTATTATAGCCCAGGGGCATGATTTGGGCAAATCTGAAGCGTGTAGGGCTTATCCTACACCCCTACCTCCCTTTCGATCAAAGAGCGAGAGGCTGTGAACCATGAACCGTGGTGAGAAGCGGCGGAACGGGGCTGCAGCGATGGCTCCTCTGTTGGTGGTTAGGCCCTGTCTTGCTCTATTAAGCAAACACAGTTAATATAGATGAAAGGTAACCTTGATAGAAGTGAAAATTGAAACTTGGTCGAAGGTAGCAAGCCAGGCACAGCTGCAGTTGTACTTCCTCCTGGGTGGCAACGGGAGCTGCACTCGCTGCTGTTTTTGAAGGGATGTAGTTTTTTTTAAAAAATATCTTTTCTTCAGGGTGTTTTGGTTTTTTTACATCTACACCATGGATGGGAGAACGTGTGATATGTTGGTGATAAGCCACTTAGACTGCGTGTGGCTACTGTGAGAGGTCAAGTCCAAGTTCGGCATTCTAATCCTATCGGTCACTCACTGGCTGTGTCACCCTGAACAAACCACCAGAAACATCTCTGTCCCCAAATTTCCTTATTTGAAAGACACAAAGGAGTTGGATTAGGGGATCTCTAAACCTCCTTCCAGCCCTAATATTCCATTGATTTATGATTCCTCGTGGGGAACTACGACTTCCAACTTCTAAGAAGGACTGTTTGAAAAAGTAAGCATGTATGCAGCGTGTTTTCTGTATGAAAATCCCTTATACATGTTTACTATGATCACATCAGGCAAATATTTAGGTTTGGTTCGTGTTGGTACATAAATTTGCCTTCTTCATTCCTTATGTTCTTCAGTTTAGGAGTGTGGCAGCTCTGTGTAAGACGGTACCTGGCCAGCCAACTCCCTTGGGCCAAAAACCCTTCTCCCTGTCCAGTCCTACAATTCTGGGATCTTGAGTTCAGCCCTCCCCAACTTGGATATAGGTGCCCTTCCCCTTGCTTGGGTTGAGCTCCATTTACCTATGTCAATGAAAGTGACTCTTTAGAAGGCTGTGCTGAAGAATTACTTCTCCTTTTATCTTTCTCAACAGTATTTCACTAGTCCTGCCAGCTTCCTCTACTTTCAATGTCTCTTTATCAGTTTCAAGAGAGATAGATAAGGCTCCTGTTAGCAGTTCATCTGCATGGAAGGGGAAGAGGCAAAGCATGGCTTAAAGTCAGAAAAACAATAGTAACTATTCAACTGTCAATCTTAGTGGCTTACATTGGATGCGTTGGACGAATTAAAACAGTATTCTCTTCTTGCAACCCGAGAGCACATCACCTTGCCTTTTCATTGAAGTCACCAAAAAAAGGTACTAGATCTGAAAACCTTTCTTCTCGCCCAGCACTGGACGAGAGTTGCTCAAAATGTTTTCTTCATAGTTGCTTTGAGAAGGCATAAGCTAAAGTCTATTATCTCTAATTTTCTGGATGGCCTAAAACGCTGTCATCTGTGTGTGCGTGTGTGTGTGTGTGTGTGTTTCCCCCTGACTGTGGTTCTGAGTTCCAGTGACTGGTGACCCTCTTGGTGGCGTCTTCTTGTTTTCGTATATGTATAATATTATGTTAGCTTCACTCGGTATTTGTCGGGTGTGGGTCTGCTCTTGGAGCTGCTCGGAGAGACCCAAACACAATCATTGTTCACGTCTTGCATTTTCCTCCCCGCAGACGATTCCATGAAAGTGAAAGATGAATACAGTGAAAGGGATGAGAACGTTTTGAAACCAGAGCCCATGGGAAATGCAGAAGAGCCTGAAATTCCTTACAGCTATTCCAGAGAGTATAATGAATACGAAAACATTAAGTTGGAGAGACATGTCGTCTCGTACGATAGTAGCAGGCCGACCAGTGGCAAGATGAACTGCGATGTGTGTGGATTATCCTGCATTAGCTTCAATGTCTTAATGGTTCATAAGCGGAGCCATACTGGTAAATAGTCTCCTTTATCCATTTTTCTGAAAACGGGCCTAATGCAGCCGTGTGAGCAATGAAATGCTGGAATGTGGGACGACTTCTGATTTGTTCATTGATTTTTTTGCTATAATGCTGATGTATTTCTCCCTCTCTGCATTCCCATTTACCCAGCAATTTTTATTCCTGCTTCACAATGCATTTGGCAAACATTGCAAATGTTATGAATAAAAATAAAAAACAAACAGAACTGCAGAGAGCGGTGTTCTGGGTCAGCCAAATAGTTTTTTCTTCTGCTAATAGGTAGGAGTTGAATTGTGTGATATGCTTCTTAAGCATCTTTGTTATATTTTTGCCTAACTTTTAGAAAAAGCAGATCTCATTATATTGGGTTCCAATTTGGTAGATGAAAGGATATCGTTTTTATTACCAGTTTAAAAAAATTTATCTTCAGACAATAAACAGTCTATAGAAATGCATAAAAATACGAGTCCCACTGAGTCCGACAGATTCCATCTGTTACGAATCCTTTTAGAAGAAGCATTTCCGGCCCTCAAGAGCTTATTAGGACTTAAGTCTGTGGCTCTTTTTTTTTTCAGATTGAGATTATATTTAAAAGGATTGCCAAGTAATGTGAAAATTTACATCTTGAGCTACTCTTGTTTTTCTTTTCTTTTTTTGCTCTGATTCAAGACAAGATGATACCTAAAATAGCCTTGGTGGGTGACAGGGGAGTGTTCTTTCTCTTCTAGAGGGAAGTTTCCCTAAGGAAGTCTTAGGTTTGCCTTGAAGTACAGCTCCCAGCTGATCCCAGTAAGAACAGAGCCGTCGAAGACGAGCTTTGGCCAAAGGCGTCTGTTTAGTCTGTGCACAGGCTCCGCCACTTGCCGGTGACCAGAAATCTCCCTTTTGTCGTTTTTTAAAGGTGAACGCCCATTCCAGTGTAATCAGTGCGGGGCATCTTTTACTCAGAAAGGTAACCTCCTCCGCCACATTAAACTGCACACAGGGGAAAAACCTTTTAAGTGTCATCTCTGCAACTACGCATGCCAGAGAAGGGATGCACTCACAGGTCATCTTAGAACACATTCTGGTAAGTGAGCGCGATGAGCACTCCCCGTCTGGTACGCGTGTGTGTTCCTCGGGGCCCACTGTGGAAACTGGAAGCAGTTAAGCAGGGAGGTGTTCATCCGTCATCCCGGTTCTGAAGGGTTACCACAGCAGAGACCTCTAGGGCTAATTACACTTCCATTAAGGCATTAATTGCTCTCCGTCTGGCTTGCTGGGGATGATCATGTCCTCGCCATCCTGGCTGCCCTAGAGAAGAACACAGACAGGAAGAGCCTGTCCTATAAAAGCGCCTTTTTCATTTTTGGTTTTTGCCTTTTTAATTCTTGTGGAAAAAAATAATAGCCATCAGTATTTTCTTATGAGAAACTCTATTAAAAGATTATTTTCCCTAAAAACACACACACATATATGCTTTTCATTCAAAAGTCTGAACAAGCCCCTGTTGTATAGTTTATACATTATGTTAAACTGTCAACTGGGTATAAATCATTGGTAGGTGGTTATTTTGGCTATTCTGGGCTAAATTTGGAGGGGTCTTTTTTTTGGCCCTTCTGGGCTAAATTTTTTTATTGAAATGTAAGTATCATTGTATTAGTTTTGGTGTACATGAGCTAAATTTCTTAAACCCAGCTTTCTTCTTAAGGGGCCTATTTATTTTTAATCTCTAAAAGAGAAGCAGCAGTAAGAATGTTTAAAAAAAAATGTCTCCTCTTGGTATATTTTACTTCTTATTTTAACCAAACAAGATAATAAATTTGTTTTGAACATCTAGAATTTCCCTCCTAGAAAAATAAAACTGACTCTATTTTTCAAATTTGGGACCTCATGTTCTTGATGTTATCTGACAAAATTTTAATTGAAGAAAAAAAAAAGTTTTGTTTTTAAGTCAATCCACATACTGCTTTGACTAGAACCCAGCCCCAGGTCCTCAGCTGGTCACAGTTCAGAGACTCAGGATGAATCAAGCCAACCCCAACAAAATCCACTGTGAGACACCATCAATGGATAAATAGCAAAGGAAGGGTTTTGTTTACAGCTCAGTGTTCAGAGTAATGCATTGAGGCTGAGTCTGGTCCCCAAAATGAGAGCAGTTCACTTCTGCTGCTTTTTTCAAGGAAGGGCCAATAGTAGTAGTCATTTTTTAAAAAAATAAGATTTTATTTATTTATTTTTAGAGAAGGAAGGGAGGGAGAGAGAGAGAGAAACATCAATGTGCAGTTGCTGGGGGTCATGGCCTGCAACCCAGGCATGTGCCTTGACTGGGAATCGAACCTGTGACACTTTGGTTCGCAGCCCGCGCTCAGTCCACTGAGCTACGCCAGCCAGGGCTAAGTAGTAGTCATTTTTAAGCCAGATTTTACCAGGCACCGATTAATGCGGAAACTTACTGTTGTTAGCCCTAGCAAATGTACACTTTTTTCAATTTGGGATTCCATAAGGACCTTTGAGTGCTGTAAGTCCCAAAGGCTCCGTTTTAAACAGAGCAAGAGGATTAGAGAACTTTAAAATCTCAGTTCCTAAAACTCTGACGAATTTACAGAGCACCCTTCATCAACAGATCAGAAAGGCCAGTCCTGCACACGGAGTCCAAGCTATTATTTACATATTTTAAGCCATGGCGCTTTTGGAAGAGTCGGGACAATAAAGGGCCTGAATTATATGGATGAACTTTTGCAGAAACCTTTGTGGTTTTTTTTATCTTAGAAATTAAGATGAAGTCATTTTTTCAATTCTTATTTCTAGTATTCAAAAATACCCTCCATTCATCCCTCCGTTTTTGTTGATGTAGCCTAGCCTTTGGCACAGCCACTTGGCAAGGGTGAGCTGGTTTTATCAAAACATGTCGATGCTCTACCAAGGCCACCAGTTTCTAGCTGAACGGCTGACTCCCACACCGTAGAGCGCTCTTCACGCACAGTCAGATGGATGTCACCCCATAGGTGATCTCCTTCTAGTTCATTCTCACACCACACCAACTTCCTTGAAGAATAAAAAGGTCCCATGTTGTTTCCTAAAGAAGCAAGATTGGACCTGGAGCCAAACCACCACGTTCAATGCTAATCATTAAATCCACATCCTGCCCTGGCTGGCGTAGCTCAGTGGATTGAGCGCGGGCTGTGAACCAAAGCATCGCAGGTTCAATTCCCAGTCAGGGCACATGCCTGGGTTGTGGGCCATGTCCCCAGTGGGGGCCACGTGAGAGGCAACCACACATTGATGTTTCTCTCTCTCTCTCTTTCTCCCCCACTTCCCCTCTCTAAAAATAAATAAATAAAATATTTAAAAAAATAATAAAATAAATCCACATCCTTTCATCAGTAAAAGGAGGCTTTCCTTTCGAAGAATAGTGGAACATAATAATCCACCATAGACCATAACCCTTCTTCACTTTACCAAATTTAAAAGTCACGCAGCTGCAGGACTATCCCAGTTCTCCGGCTGCGCTCAGTGCTCTGTTCCCAGCGGGCAGTTTTTGCAGAGCTCCGATTCACCGCCTGTTCGTTCTGTAACCCTGAGGGTCACTGCGTGCCCCCTGTGCTCTCCTTATAGTTGAGAAACCCTATAAATGCGAGTTTTGCGGAAGGAGTTACAAGCAGAGGAGTTCCCTGGAGGAGCACAAGGAGCGCTGCCGGACGTTTCTGCAGAGCACTGACCTGGGTGAGACCGGTGAGTCCACGCAGCACGCGCTGCTGCTCACCATCCGCGAGCAGCTGCCGTTCCGGGCGGCGGGACGCGAGGGTCAATACGAACACCGGAAAACCCTGCCCTTGTGGAGTTCACGTTTCCGTGGGGAAAGGCGGACCACACACAAAGTAAATGAGTAACTAGTACAGTATACGAGAAGGTAGTAAATAGTTTCAAGAAAAATGCTGGGCACGGGGAAGATGCAGAGGGTGAAAAGGATCAAAGATATGGTGACAGAAGGGGACTAGGCTTCAGGTGCTGAACACACAGTAGAGTATGTGTCACCTTACAAAACTGTACACCTGATGTGGGGACTGCCTGAGGGAGTGGGGGTTGCTGGTGGGGGGCCAGAGGGGGAAAACTTCGGGCAACTGCAATAGCATAATCAATAACATATAATTTCCAAAATAAATAACAAAAATAAAATTGTACACCTGAAATTTATAGAATGTTATTAACTCATGTTACTCCAATAGATTTAATTAAAAAATAAATGAATTAAAAAAGTGAAGTAAGTACCGGGAAAGCTTCGAAAGGGATGCAGAGAGAGCCTTGAAGATAACCAGGAAACAGCAAGTGCAAAGGCCCTGGGGCGTGAGTTCGAAGAAGTGGAAATAGTCCTGTGTGATAGGAGTGGACGTGAGGCCAGAGAGGAAATGGAGAAGCAGACCTTACAGGGCCTTGTAGGCCATTGAAAAAAACTTCGACTTTTACTTTAAGTGACATTGAAAATCTTCAGAGCGTTTTGAACAGAAGTCACATGATTGGACGTCTCCTTTGAAAAGAGTCACTCCACTCGCTATTGAGAATAGATTGTCTCTGGGGTGAGAAAGGAAATTAGAGTCTAGTTAGGAGGCCATGGCCATCATTCAAGCAAGAGAAAATCGTGCCTTGGCTGTGGTAGGAGCAGTGAGACGTGTTCTAATTCTTAAATACATATAAACGTAGCACCAGGAGGACTTTCTAACAGATCGATGTGGCGTGTGAGGGGAAAATGCTGTTTCCACGAACTGAAATAGCAGACATTGAGAGCACAGCAGCTTGAGGGTGGCTAGGGCACAGCTGACTAAACCTGCAAGGGTTTTCTTTGCACAAGGCCCCAAAATCATGTACCTGTCTAGTCATAAGATTTGTTGTCATGCTTATGTTTGGTTTTGGGAATTTCAAACTTTATTCAGTGTTCTGAACTATATGTCTAGTGCTGATTGGTTGAAACGCTAGACTCAGCCCTGGCTGATGTGGTTCAGTGGGTTGAATGCCAGCCTGTGAACGGAAAGGTCACCAGTTCGATGCCCAGTCAGGGCACATGCCTGGGTTGTGGGCCAGGTCCCCAGTTGGGGGCATGCAAGAGGCAACTGGTGTATGTTTCTCTCCCTCTCTTCCCCTCTCTCTGAAAATATATAAATAAAATCCTAAAGGAAGAAAAAAAGAAATACTAGATCCTTGCCATATATCAATTGGGGTTTTATTTCCTTTTCATTCTTCAGTCCAAACAGCCTGAAACTGTGCTGTGTCACATCTCTGTCGCTGTCCTTTGTCTCAGCCCATTGACCGCCAGCCTGGTTCTGTAGCTGGGGTTGTCTGATGATTTTTTTTTTTTTGGTCACTCGAACCACTAGCTTAGGTACGAGTCCTCATGAGATTTGGCGTCTGACAGGTGTAGTTGCAGCTGAATAGTTTGAACGTTCTAAAGCAGAAAGATTACAAAAATATGACACAAATAACGTGAAACTCAGGGAAAATGGAGTGGAAATCATGAGTAGTTTAACTGTACCCGTTTTGAGTGAGAGGAAATTTCGTTGTAGATAAAGCCTATTTTATGGTGTTAGGAGCTGGCCAACTGAATTCTGTTGGTTTATACTGCTTCTGCTTTTTATCCTGATGGCATCTTTGGTTTTATCAAGGAGTTGGATTTCCTCCTTATTTCTAAAGAGAAATGTTTACTCTCTTTAAGAGAAACCCACCCAAACTGTGGGTTTTGATATCTCAAGCAACATGCTAAGGTTAGTCAGGCAGTACCTGGGTATCTTTACCTGTAGTGTCATATTTCAGACCACGGACAAAGCTCTTACTGCGAGAAATCCCAAGTTATGAAAATCTGTTATATTACAAATAGACCATTAATATTTAAATCTAGAAAGATTAAAGAGAGTATCTAATCCTACCTCCTCATTTTAGGGATCAAGAAATTGAGACTTATCAAAAATTCAGTGACTGACTTAAAAATCACCAGAACTTTCATTGTGTTCATGATTAGCTATATATTTTTTTAAGATTTTATTTATTTATTTATTTATTTATTTCTAGAGAGAGAAGGAAGGGAGATAGAGAGAGAAACATCAATGTGCGGTTGCTGGGGGTTATGGCTTGCAACCCAGGCATGTACCCTGGCTGGGAATCGAACCTGCGACACTTTGGTTCGCAGCCCGCGCTCAGTCCACTGAGCTACGCCAGCCAGGGCTGATTAGCTATATTTTTTCTTTTCAAAAATATGTGGAAGAGACCATTCAGATACCATAAAATTCATATTTTTGAAGTGTCCAATTTAGTAGTTTTACATTCACAAAGTTAATACATTCACAAAGTTATCCAGCCATCACCAGTATCCAATTCCATAACACCTCGTCACCCTCCAAAGAAACCCCGCCCCCGCCGGCAGCCACTCCCCACCTCCTCTCCCCTCCCTCCAGCCCCTGGCAACCACCCTTCTGCCTTCCGTCTCTCTGGACTTGCCTATTCTGAACACTCCGCGTAGATGCAGCCATACAGGACATGGCCTTTGATACCTAGCTCCCTTCCCTGAGCGTACTGTGTTCGGGGGTCACCCGTGTTCTGGCACGTGTCAGCACTTCATTTCTCGTTATGGTTGAATAATATTCCATTCTATGGACTTACCATATGCTATTTATCCATTCATCGGTTAATGGACAGTGGGTTTTTTCTGCTTCTTTCACTTCTGGAAAATGTGGCTATATTTTTAAAAGGTTGTAAATTATCTGCTTAGCAAAGGAATATAGTAACACGTGTACTAATACACATATACAGATGCATACATGTGTGTTTTGAGTCTCCTGGAAGTTGGGGTGGGGGCATCAGTATCCTACCCTCTATGAACACTAAGCTCAAAATTTTGGATTTTGAAGTAAGGTTACCACCTTACTTCCCACCCCCGTAACATTTTTTAGGAATTTAAAAGCAGGGAGGTATCAAAGGAAGTATTTTAGCTATCTTTAGTGGTACAAGGTGATTCAGGAAATGCTGAAACACGGAGGCTGAGTTAATTTGCATGTCATAAGGTGGTTTGATGGATGCGTGCAACATACTTTAAGCCTCAGCAAAAAAAATAAAAATAAAGGGTTAACTAAGTCAGCAAGTTTTGATTTTTTTTTTAACAAAAATGTTGTAATGGCGGTTTCAGGTTACAAAGTGTATAAAGTCACACACAGCTTAATCAAGTATAATCAATACTGCATGTCAGTAAATATACTACTCTCTATTATATTTCAACCACTTGCCATGATTTTTCCTGAAATCCAGTATGTAAAGAATGTTTAATCCAACACAAGCCAATTTCATGCTTGTTGCCACCGGTCTCTATATGGTTTCCTTTTCTGTTTCCTTCTTAAAATCGGGAGTCCCAGTCTGGACCCAGCGTTCCATTCTGAGCCTGACGGCTAGAGTACCACCAGTGGTGCGTTCTTCCCCTTCATCCCTAGCTTCTCAGAGGAATGATGCTCCTTTGCTCCTGTGGACGCCACACTGACGCATCGAGTGCTTGTTGTGAATGGAAGTGCAGCCTAGTGTGAGAGACATGCCTTGGGACCGACCTGCCCCATCAGGACGCAGGGTGGTTCCAAGCCTTTACGGAAGCAGAACAGACGAAAAGAACTCGGCCCGGAGTCCAGTCTGCCAGGGAAAGCTGTGCTGGGCGAGAGGACTTCTGGCCTTACTGATCATTTGTCTTTCATTCAGATAGCATTTGTGATGTTCTGTATGTGTCAGGCCCTAGGTCGGAGCTGTTTATAAAGATAAGTGAAGGTTAAAGCCGTACCCTTGAAAAAGTCCCAGTCCAACAAGGGAACGGACCCTTGATCTGCCAGTACAATGCAGAGGTCTAACAGAGACGCGTGGGATTGCTGCTTCAGGGCGCGCTTCCTCCCCACACATCACGAGTGACATCACCGAGGTCCTCCGGTGCTGCCGTCTTAATGGAGTACGTGTGAAAAGAAGGATGGATGCAGAGGACCCCAGATCCCATTTTCTCATTAGTTTGCTCCTTATTCCAGAAAGGGACTAACAGCTGGCACAGAGATTCATTTAACTTCATTTCACACCAATTATGAATACTTGGAGCGGGGCATATTTTTGTGTGATGAGCGCTAGCAATAAGAGTATTTTTTAAAGTAATTGAATAATTATATTCATTTATGCATCTAGGAGTTAAAACCTCTTATCTTCATTCTCATTGTTTCATTCGAGCTAATAACAGGCATGTGAGTTTCAGAACAAACATATTTTTACCACATAGCAGACCACAGGAAAAAGTTTAAAATGTCTTAAAAGCCTATTTTCCCATCTGATTATTCTACTTAAAAATCAGTACTATCTCACAGGTGATATTCACTCCACTTGCTCCAAAAGGCAACAATTTTATGTAACCTTTTTGTTAGAACGTGCCTCCGTCTCTGATAGCAATCTCTTGTTAGACAACTCCGGTTGCACCAAAGCGCCCCTTTGCCTCGCTCCCCATTAGCTACTGACACCAGAGAAGACACAGGAAGCATGCCTCTTGCTTGAGCTCCATTTAACTCTTCAAGGTCCGATGCAGGACTTGGAACCAAAACCAAAATACAATAAATCACACACTTCAATCTGCAGTCACTCGGAGACAAGAAACGGTATCGCGGGAACAGCTAACTAAACACCACACACATTATTTCAGACTCGTGCAGAGATTAAAGGTAGAAATCTATGCCGTCAGGAAGACTTCGTGTTCATTTTATTATTCTTTTTCAATGTGTCTTTAAAATCACCTTTTAAAAATGCATGTATCCACTGTATAGAGTAAGCAAGTGGCCTGAGGGAGAATTGATCCAGAATTACGGCCCTACTCCTCCTGGGCTCACTCGTGAACCGAGTGCGCACATAGGTCCTTTCCCCCATCCCGTATTCCCCACACCCACCCCTTGCAACATTAAACTGCCAAACACCACCCAGGAACGGATTTCCTATTTCGTCATGTAAAGCCATTATCTTGTTCCCTTGCTATCTTGCCAAACTGGTTTCCCTCCACTTACATTTCTGAGACTTCTGATGCAGCAAGATAGCAAGTCTAGACTGTTTGTATAAACAGACGGTTGGGTCTTAAAGTTGAAGTAGAGGACCAAAAGCCAAATAGTCCCCTTTTTTATCAAATTTTATTTGCCTTTTTTCAATGTATTGCCTAAGCACTTTGTAATCCTCAAAAGTTTGGCTAACTCCAAAGCGTTTCTCTGCGTTTTAAAGGGCACCCATTTGGTGGCATTGTTATGGCAGCTGTCCAGGAACTGCAAGGCACAAGGCTAGCAGTTTGGGAAAGAAAATGAGAGGGTGCCATATTCACTGGAAGGCTCCGCCTTTGCCTAACTGGCCAATCACCAAACGCAGTTAACTCCATCTTTATGAACATTAACAATCACCAGAGTATATTCATCTGTACAAGGAGAGTTGGGCTCTTGGTGTTGAGGTCTTGAGGGAGGGTGTGGGTGGATGAAGTCCTCTCGTTTAGTTTCAGAGGATGTCTTTCGATCTAACCGGAGCTGTGGAAATGGGAAAGTCTCCACCCATGCCTCGAATTATCTGTCTATCCATAACCTCCAGAATCTGGTGCTTTAAATGTGAGTCATTTGGTCACTGGTTTACAGGGTAAGGCTTGTCTAGAAATAACTGTCAAGACAAACTTGGTGAGTAACCAGGGATAAAAGGTGATGTTATCTCGGAGGGTTGCCTTTTAGTGGCATGCCCTAATTACGTTATTTAGGTCAGTGTAGCCCCACTTTTAGCATCTCCCAAATACAGAGGATATTGAGTGTGGGTCCCCAGACGGCTGCTGTGGTAACTGATAGTGGCTTTAGACAGTGGCTGCCGAGAGACAAGGAGGAAACTAGACTGGCAGCAGAAGGCTTGGGGAAAGTCCTGGGGCTGAACGAACACAGCTCTAGGCGGTGCCAGGACCACCCGAGGAGTGACTGAAGAGACTAATAATAGTGGTAAGTGGGGACAGAGTTAAAAATTCCTGAAGTCCCCGTTGCATTCTCCTGTCACTGCAAATCTTTTTGATAGTAAATACAGGGCAGTGGGAGGCGTCTCGCCTAGATCGAGTCCTCTCAAAGGTGCTCGTGCCAGAATGCACGTTCACAGTCAAAACACAAACTCGGCTGCCTCTCGGGTGCTTCTCAGAAAAAGCCTCCTCCTAGCAGCCTCAGGAACTCACTTCAGATCCCGGGCCTCTGACTTTCATCTCTCTGCTCTTGGGGATCTGGGTCGTGCCACATCTGGCAGTGGTTTGTGTGAAAGAGAATAACATGTAGAATAGTTTCCTGTTTGGTCACTTAAACTTACGCCTGTGCCAGACAGACTGGATCCACCTCACTCAGTGGCAGCGTCCTGTCACCCAAGTGCCAGTTATTTGCGACAATAGTCAGCCAAAGTTGTGGTTCTTCACCGCCAGCCAGAAAGCTGCCCAGGCCTCTTATTCTGGCCCTCACTGTGTTCTTTGCACAGGTAGCATTGTTCATAGCTTAAACTGGAGGCTGGGGTTTATTTCTTCAGAGCATAGAATTCTTTTTTTTATTAGAAACTCACAAAGTCTAGTAAATATGGTCATCATTATTATCATCCTCTGAATCATTTTTTGGAGCCAGATTTCATTTTATTGCTGATTTTTTTAAATCCTACATTTTATAATTTATTGTATAATGACTACTGGCATAGTGTTTAAAAAAAAAAAACAAAACAAAAAAACATTGCAATAAGGAAATGAAAAATAGCTAATGCTTTGAATTCTCTTTTTCTAATTTGGCTTAGGTTCCCTTGCCCTGCCCATACTTGACAGTCTTGCCTTGGAGACCTTTTCCTGTCTCTTTTACTGCAGAGGTGGCCAGTGGCCTCTCTGGGCATGTCCCTTTGTGGTACTGAGTGTCTGAGAGACCACGGAATTGGTGACATGGTTTCCATATATTAGAAACTCTTCGCACAGCAAACTTCAACTCCAGAGCAGACACTGACAATTCCTAAGTCCGTGTGTATAGTTGGGGGAAATCTATTCTGCAATCATCACTTGCTTTTTACTCTTGTCATTTAACTAATTTCAAGTCCTTTTTCCGTAGCGATGTTAGCAATGTATGGATGCTTCGTTTCAGTTCGAACCTCTCAAAATGCTGATAATCAAACAGTGAGAAATGTTTTTAGTATTGCAATACGTTTGCCTAAGGCAAGAGAGAGCAACCACGACCCTCGGGCCAAATGCAGCCAGCAGCCTGTTTGTGCACAGGGGTTTCTACATTTTTAAAGACTAGTGGGTTGGGTTAAAAAAAAAACAGAGGCTGTCCTGACCGGTGTGGCTCGGTTGGTTGGGCGTCGCCCCGCCAAGTGAAAGGTCACTGGTTCGATCGCAGGTCAGGGCACGTGCCTGGGTTGCCGATTTGATCCCTGGTGGAGCTGTGTCTCTATCACCTCGATGTTTCTCCCCTTCCCTCTTTCCCTCCCTTCCCCTCTCTCTGAAACATAAATTTAAAATATTTTTAAAATCTTTAAAAAAAACAAACAAACTGAGATTATGGAATACAGAGGATGTGTCCCATTAAAGTTTAAAATATCTACTCTCTGGCCCTTTATAAGAAGAGTTTGCTGATATCTGGCCCGGGTTAGTATCATATGCTACAGCGTAAAGCCTTGTATTTGGAGCAGCTTGTACCTCTTTGAACTTGAAACATGAACTCTTAGTGGGGACTGCTTGCTGCACAAGGATGAATTATACTCTATTCATTCCCATGAACTATTTAGTTGATTAGATATGTTTCTAGTGATTCTCCATTCTGGCTGCATTTTTAAATCATCTGGAGAGCTTTAAAAAAATACCACAGCCTAGGCCCCTACATCAAAGGTCCTGAGTTCACTGATCTGAAAGGGGAGCCTGGGCACAGGTGCGTCTTACGTGCTCTGTAGGTGGTTCTGATGTTCGGGCACCTCTGAGAGCCACAGGCCTGCACCCCTGCGAGCTTTGCTCATGGACTGACAACCAGACCACATTCTCAGGCAGTTTTTATTCACATTTTTCATTAGAAATGTAATAAAAATGCATCATACAAATTGCTCTTTAATTTCAAGACAGAAGTGTTGCTCAGGGAAATTTTAACTGAGACCATTTTTAACTGTGAAGAGCATACGAAACAGATAATGCAGAGCCCAGAGAGATAGAATTTTAAAAGACAGGCACTGAGAGGAGCATGCTGCTGGAAAAAAAAAAGAGAAAGAAAGAAAGAAAAAGAAACCACTCAGAATTTCAATACACAAATCACTGAGTAGATTTCTTGCTGTCTCGGTAAATGTATCTATTTTCAAAAGTGCTATTAACATAAACAGAGCAGTAAATCTGGGGCACCATGCTTTTTTTTTTTCCTCTCAAAGTTGTTAAGAAGAATTATATCAGTCTGCAGGTGTCACACGCAGTTACTCAGAATCAGAAAGAAGGCTGATTGGAGGTTAGAAGATCTCCATCTATCTATCTTTTTGCAACCAACCACGTCCAGGCTGTTTATTTAATACTTCCTCTTGCTAATGAAGGTACTGTTGGGGGGGATGGGCTGGGCTTTCCCATCTCAGCACTAGGACGGCAAGATTTGAATGTGCCCCGGTGCTGGCTTCACTGCCCACAGCAGGTCCCCCAGCAGGAACCTGAGCAGTAATAACCGGTAACAAAAGACTGTGCACCTCTGACACTTTTCCTTCCAGCTTATTTCTTCTTTTTCCCCCACTTACCAATGTTATTTTTCTTCCCCTCTTCTTTTTACATTTTCCCAAACCAGCAAGTGCGGAGGCAAGACACATCAAAGCAGAGATGGGAAGTGAAAGAGCTCTCGTTCTGGACAGATTAGCAAGCAATGTGGCAAAACGAAAAAGCTCAATGCCTCAGAAATTCATTGGTAAGAATAAAACCCTTTTTCCTGCTGTTGTTAGCAGATAGTTTGAATGAGATAACATAGGATGCTTACTACACGGGCCCTTCCTAGCTTAATAATCTCTGTTAAAATAAGGTGAATTGGTTTTCCTTTGCTCGTGTTTATTCTTTGTGATTCATTTCGATAGCTAGTACAAATATGTTAACTAAAGGATCTTCGTGACTGAAGATGGGAGTATTTGGCATCCAGTTTCCTACGTAGAGTTAGTGTTAAAAATGCTGTTCCTTCCTCTTTATTCTGAATGACATATGTTGCATGAGTTTAGGCAATTTACACCAGTAAGATGTTCGCGATAACATTGTTGTAATCTTTTTGTAATTATATTTTACAAGTTGGTTCCGTTATCATGCTTAAACTATTTTTCATGCTCTAAAATGTATTGCCATCTTTTTTTTTTTTTAATTTGATTCAGAATTGGCTTTCAGAGAAAAATGGGTGGGGAAACGTAGATTTAAATAATAAGATTTGGTTTAGTCATTTCTTTCTCTGGAGTTAATTTTTATGCCCCTGGTTTTCACAATGTCAAAAAATGCAACATAAGGAGATGGCTAAGAAATAATTGTATGCTAGGACTGCCAAAGGGCAGGGGCATTTTGCTGAGCTCTCCCAGATGCTTACATAAATGTGACTGTGATGTTGGAAGTAGATTTGTATTTGTGCAGCAGGCAACCGAATTGAACGGATCAGATTTGCTGCAAACTGAAAGTCAGTGCTATTGAACAAAAATGGTTATCACATGAAAATAGACCTCCCTTAACACGATGCTGTTTCAGAAACCTGTCAGTCTGTTTTTCCAAAGCCACTTGTTGCTGCTGATTTCTGATTCCGGTCCTGTGTGTTTGTTCTTTTCCATAGCTTTCACAGATATCAAGGGTCTATCTGGTTTTCTTAATCCAGTTAAATGTTATTCTGGCCTTGATCACTTTTTTACCGGCTGACATTTTATGTGCATTGTAGAGATATATGGAAAGAACCCATGTGGGGCAAAATGACCTGCCTTGGTGTATAGGTGCTTGTTTATTTTGATTAGCTGAGAAGCGATCACCCCCTTTTAGTCCCTTGAATAACTCATGTCAGACTAAAGTGGTTGTGTTTCAGCTCAGAAACACCACCGCCCCCATCTTCCCTGGCCTTGGTGAGAAATATCGGGGAGCATGTAGTGACTTCCATATGGAGTCAGGCACAGCGAACCGATCGTGGGTTCAAGACATTATATTAAGCCATTGCTCGCATCTCTTCTGAGCCTTACTTATGGGAAGAGTTTCCACCTGGAGGCCAAAAGAAAGTGCCAATCATTGCTCTGTGCCATGAGCGTAGTTTCATTGGGGGAAAGTCTTTATCCTAGAAATGGCTACAGCTGAGGTAGGGAGGGCCATGGGGAGAAATGGGCAAGAAAAAAATGTCAAGTATCTTAATTTCAACACAATGATGGTCAATACATTTTGGCCTAAGACCTAGTTCTTAACAGCTGCCCAAGGCCTATGGTTGCCATCAAGCCCTACTTAATATCATAAAAGTTTCGTGGATATTTTCATGGATTTACAACCCCATGTTTCACAGTCCGGGCCATTGTGCTCATTGCACCAGGGATTCGAGTTCCATTTGTTGGTGACCACTGTGACCGGAGGATTCTCGTGCCTCCGTTTCCAGACTCACCAGAGGAGCTGATCTTGCACGTTGATTTCTTTCATCTTCTGAACCGTCATCACATTCTCTCTGCGTGGAATCAGGAAGCCCAGTCTCGTTTAGCGCTTGATTTGAGCTGAAGTAGCAACTTCAGGGCTTCAGGGCCCCGAATAACCAGGGGAAATTTTTTTTTGGGTAAATTGTGGTGTCGTGCAGTAGGATGAACCCTGGATTAGAAGCCAAAACACCCCGGTTCCGATTCTAGCTCAGTCATTTCTGAACTGTGCGTGCATTTAGACAAATCACGTAACTTTTCTGGGCCTCTGTTTACTCACCTGTGAAGTGCGGAGACCGAGTAGGTGGTGGCGTGCTCAGGGAGGCCCCTCCCAGCCCTGTCGCTCTCCGCGTCGGTGAGACGGTTTAGAAAAGGCAGCAATTGTAACTCTCCTTTGTGTCTGCCAAGCCCGCGTGTGTGATTTCAGGTCATTCTTGACTCGAGCCTGTACAGCCATGATGCTTATGTCAGGGACCACATCATGTATTTTAGGGTTTTGGTTTGTTTTGTGTTTTTTATTCTTGAAAGATGAAGCTGTGTTGGCTCAACTGTTCTATGTTGGACTGAGGGCGTCAGTCACCACTCGCTCCCTCGCCCTTCTGTCCATTTGTTCGTCACGAGGTGGTTAGAGGGCTCCTGCCACGCACACGCTGTCCCTGAGCACTGTTCTCATCTCCTGGCACTGGCTTATGCCCTAAAGCTTTGTTGTAGGGGTATTTTTAAAAATAAACGAAGCTCTTGAATCAGGCTTTTAGATAGGAAATAGTAATGTCAGCGGCGCAGGGAAAGGGACAGGACGACAGCGTGACATGGAGCGATGTAAAACAGGGTTAATGCTTCCCGCTTCCCCTCGTCTCTTCTCTCTTCTCCCTCCTATGTTTCCTCTGCAAGGCACCATTATTATCTTAAAAAAAAAAAAAAAAAAAGATCAGCTGCCAGAGAAATGGCAATGGGTGAAGTGTGAAGGAAGAATGAGTCACTCCCTTTAATCCTTGCTGACAGTTGCACAGCGCTGAGACCAGCCTTGGCTTCCCTGACCTCTTGAACTGTGAGGGTAAAGGTGATAACTTACACCATCGGGTCAACCCGATGCTTTCCCGGCAGGCTAGAGAAGATTATCATCAGGTAACATCCCTCATCCACTGGACTCGGAGTGAGGAAGAGGGCCCAGTTAGATTCCGTCTCAATGCATTTGGAAACACACACACACACACACACACACACACACACACACACACACCTCTGTTGAAGAGGGAGGGAGAGTGGAATTCAACTGCCCAAGTGGGAGGAAAATAAAATCATTTCTTCCCTAATTCGCCAAGACATTCTGTGTCACTTTCTCTAAAATGGGAAATAAACTGACACACATTCATTAGAAAACAGCATCTTTCCATCATCAAAATAGTTCTTTTTTTTTTTTAAGATTTTATGTATTTATTTTTAGAGAGGGAAGGGAGGGAGAAAGAGAGAGAGAAACATCAATGTGTGGTTGCTGGGGGTCATGGCCTGCAACCCAGGCATATGCCCTGACTGGGAATCGAACCTGCAACACTTTGGTTCGCAGCCCGTGCTCCATCCACTGAGCTACGCCAGCCAGGGCAAAATAATTCTTCATTGCTCTTTTCAAGAGACGAGAAGGCCTCCTTGTCAGTGCCCGGCCCTGCTAGGAGTTGCCTTCGCTCTGCATCTGACTCTCCTGCTGGAAACTTGCTGGACTCTCCTTCTAACTAGGCCATCTCCAAACACTTGGCTCAAAATAGAGGCCAGATTTCTCTCCTGGGGGGAAGAGGAAAATGACTACATTCTGCATATTGCTTTTTCTGATTTTCCTTCTTTTTTCCAAAAACATATGTGTGATTCAGACCAAAGCGGTTACCATAGCATCTCATTTTTTAAAAAAAAATTTTATATATTCCTTTATTAAAGGAAATCATGTCTAAATGAACATGAAAAAAGATCTCACTCTCCCGTGGTAAACATACAAGTGAGGTTTTGACACTTCGACAAACACCATCAATCCCTCCTGTGAAGTAACTGAAGAGAAATTGGCTGCTTTGGTTAACAGAGTGACAGGAAGCAGTTTTCATACCTGCTTCTAAGAGCACCAAGTACCCTCTCCCACCCCTTCCCAAAAGGCTGAAATCCATCATCCTACATGCATGACAAAGTCACAGCATTTTAGGGCCTGAAGGGACATTAGGGTCTACCAAGTGAAGTTCTCATACCAAGGATGGAGAGGGGACCTGAGGGTGGGAGAGTCAGGGCCAGTAGGTGACAGAGCAGGGTCAGAACCTCGGGCGGCAAAGGGCTGCAGCGGAAGGGAGGTCACCCAAAGCAGTGCGTGTCCTGTGTGTGACCCAGAGGCTTTGGAGCCTGGGACGAGGTTAGTCGCTGACAGCTCATGGGAGAAAAGCTCTGAGGAAGGCAGTCATTCTCTCTCAAGAGTGTATTCATTCTTTTATTACTAACTTACATGTATTGGGGTGACACGGCTCAATACAGTATATGAGTTTCGAGTGTACAGTCCCTATAAGACACCACCTCTGTACTGCCGCGTGCACTCACCACCCACAGTTTAGTCTCCTTGCTCACCACGTATTTAGCCCTTCTCCCCTCTTCCTCCTCCCCACGTGTGTTTTCTGGAGAAAAGAAGTGCCTTCTGCTGGTGACTCCATCAGGACACGCAGCATCCACAGTGCACTTCACGGCAGCGTCTCGCTGAAGACAAAGGCTTCTGCAGCATCTAAAAAAAAAATGTGGTCTCCAGCTCAGTTTTCCTCGCCACCACCCCCACAGCTCGCTCTCCTTCCTGCTTCTCGTTCTGTGGCTCCCCTTCGCTCTCCTCCTCCTGGAAGAAGCGTTAGTCACTTTGGTCACAGTTAGATTGAGATCAGAGCCATGATCATCATCAGATATTCCATTTACCCTACTTACCTGCCTTTTTTTTTTTCCTGTGGATACGTGCTTGCAGTCAGCAGTAATACACGTGGGAAATTGTGTGAAGGTAGCAGCAAATGCATCCATCCAGTTGACCTGAAGAAACGTTAACACAAAGCCAACCTGAATGTTTCACATTACCCATCACGATGATGGTCGTATTGGAACTGGGTTATGTTTATAATGTGCAAGCCATTTCTTTCCCACTAAAAAAAAAACAAAACAACAACCTTTTAAAGGCTTCCCATTAAAATAAAATCAAACCACCCAGGCAGTCGGAGCCTTCCACACTTTTCTCCAATTTACCTTTTCTAATATTATCATTTCAGCCAGCCGCTCCTTTCAT